GAAGAGTCAATAACAATTCAACCATCAATTGATTATGTTATGTTAAAAACTGTTCCCAAATGCAAATTTTGCGAAGCCAAAAAATTTGAATACGAACCACCCGCATTCTGTTGTCGCAAAGGCACTATTAAGCTGATTTCACATCAAGTACCACAAGAGTTAATAACTCTGTGTCTAGGAAATACTGAAGAATCAAAGCATTTTCGAACCTACATAAGAACATATAATAATATATTTGCGTTCACATCCCTGGGAGTAAGTTATGACAAAGAGTTGGCGAAAAGGAATAAAGGTATTTATACATTTCGAGTTCAAGGACAAATGTATCATTTCATGAATGACCTGATACCAAGTAATGAAAAAGGAAAATATCTACAATTATATTTCTATGATAATGAAAATGAGGTGAGCAATCGAATGGCATGTTCCAATAAATTAACGAGGATACTATGAAAAATTTAATGGAAATATTAAAAACCAATCCTTATACTACGTTTTTGAAATCCTTAATAAATATACCACAATTATCAGATTTCTACATTGCGCTTAAGTGTGATGTTGGTTTAGAGAAACGAATATACAACCTACCAACTACGTCAGAAGTGGCAGGAATATGGGTAGAACAAGATACCAATAATTGCATCCCTACACCAGATATCCGAATATATACAAAAAGTGATAGAAGCCAGCTGGTAAATTATTATTACGGATGTTACGACCCATTGCAATATCAATTACTGTTCCCTTACGGTCAAAATGGTTGGCATTATGGTATTCAAAAAGTTAAGCCTTTACCTACCCCTTCCAGAACACATCCGTATTGTGAATGCGAACAATTGCCATGTCTAACAAATATGACTTCAATTGATGGATTCCTTGACATGGAAGCTGAAGTGATGCAAAAAGGCAAACGAAAAAGAGAAACAGTTTCCTGTCGTGAATATTATTGTTATCAGCACCAAATTAGAGATGATGAAAATATAATCATACATTCAGGACGATTATTTCAACAATATGCTGTAGACGAATGGATAAAAGTTGAAACTCAAAGATTAGATTTCGCTTTTTTCAATCAAGATTTATTCAGGATGGATGTGTTAGCGGGACTTTTAGATCTTTTGCGACGCGGTGAGAGAGAAGGCTCACAGGTAGGTAAAAACAGAATACTTCCACTTAGCTTCACAGGAGGGCCAAGAGATATGCATCGCCGGTATATGGATGCTATTGCATTAGTACAACGTTTTGGAATACCCGATATATTTCTAACTATAACATGTAACCCTTCGTGGCCTGAAATTCAAGAAAACTTGTTGTTGACAGATGAGGCTCAGAATAGACCCGATTTAGTTAGCCGAATATTTCGAGCAAAACTAGAAGATCTTAAAAAGGATATACTAAAAAGACAAATATTTGGTAAAGTTGCAGCATTTATGTACACGGGCGAATTAAAAAAACGGGGACTTCCACATGCTCATTTTCTTATTATACTCGATGAAAAATACAAACTACTGACCCCTGAGGCATATGATAAATTTGTTTGCGCTGAATTACCGGATCCTAAAAGAAATTCTGATTTATTTATGCTTGTTACACAACACATGCTACATGGTCCTTGCGGTCAATTAAATCCAACAAGCCCCTGTATGAAGAAAAAAAACGGTCATTGTAAATTTAAATTTCCAAAAAAGTTTGCTGAACAGACAACTAAAGGAAAAAATTCATACCCTATTTATAGAAGACGAAATACAGGAAAATCTGTGGAAATTAGAGGACAACTTTTTGATAATTCATGGGTTGTTTCTTACAATCCATTCTTACTTAGTAAATTTAATTGTCATATAAATGTGGAGATTTGCTCTGATATTAAAGTTGTTAAGTGCATTTACAAGTATATTTGCAAAGGACATGATAAAATTGCATTTCATATATATCCTAATGAGACGAATATAGAAGTAGATGAAATAAAAGAATATCAATCTGCTAGGTGGGTGTCACCACCTGAGGCTCTGTGGTTCATATTTGCTTTTCCTATCAGTGAAATGATTCCAAATGTATACCATCTTCAACTGCATCTTGATGGACAACAAATTGTTTCCTTCAAAAATACAGACAATATTAGTAGAATTGTAAATAATCCTATGATTAAAAAAACGAAGTTAACTGAATTTTTTAGAATGAATAACGAAAACGAAAATGCTATAACTTTGAATTTATTATATCGGGAATTTCCAGAATATTTTGTATGGTCCACCACATACAAGATGTGGTCACATCGCCAACAAGGATATGCTATTGGTAGAGTTATGACATGTCATCCAACCGAAGGAGAAAGATACTATCTTAGATTGCTCTTAATGAACGTAAGAGGACCAAAATCGTATAAAAATTTACGAACTGTAAACGGAATGACTTGTGGCACGTTTAGAGAAGCTGCGGAAAAAAGAGGATTATTACTTTGCGATAATAATTTAATAGAATGCATGTCAGAAGCAGTAAGTTACCAAATGCCACACAGTTTGAGACACTTATTTGTTGTACTATTAGTATATTGCAATCCCGCTAATCCAAGAGAGATGTGGGAAAAATTTGAAATCCCGATGTCTGAAGATTTCAAAAAATACCCAAACATGCATACGCGAGAAATTCGTCACAAAGTATTAAATCATATTAATGATATTCTTCATTCAATGGGTCGTGATATCAACGAATTTGAACTAACTCAGGGCAAAATTCAACCATCTGCAACAGCCAAAGAAGCTAAAGATGTACATTTTGAAAGGAATATTATCGTTACTGAACAAGATTTACCATTGCCATATAAACTAAACATTGAACAAAAAAGAGCTTACAATGTAATCCTTGATAGAATATTCTCAAATAAACCCGGAGCATTCTTCATTGATGGTCCGGGCGGAACTGAAAAAAACTTTTTATATTGTGCCTTATTAGCTACAGTACGACATAGAGGATTTATAGCATTAGCGACTGCGAGTTCAGGTGTTGCTGCTTCACTTCTTCTCGGAGGCCGAATTGCTCATTTCCGATTTATAATACCTATTGATGTTGATGGAAATTTTAGTTGCAATATTAGCAAACAAAGTTCATTGGAATCGTTGATTCGAGATGCAAAACTAATAGTATGGGACGAAATTTCAATGGCAAAAAAAGAAATGGTTGAAGCACTAGATTTGCTCCTTAGAGATTTAATGGAAACAACTATGTTGTTCGGCGGAAAGGTTGTTGTATTCAGTGGCGATTTTAGACAAACTCTTCCCGTTGTCTGTGGTGGACAAAGGGAAGATTTTTTTCGTGAAAGCTTATTATGTTCTGAAATTTGGCATCAACTTGAAAAATTACAACTGTCCGAAAATATGCGTGCGAAAACAGACCCAGCTTTTTGTGAATATTTGATGAGAATTGGTAATGGAAAAGAAAACAAAAATGATAAGAACAAAATAGAAATTCCCCGTCCTCTGATCATACCTTTCACCACTGAAAAAGATTCCTTGAATCATCTATTTAAAGTTACTTATCCTGATTTATATTTAACTCATTCAAATATTTCTTTTATTACTTCTCGCGCAATTCTAACTACAAAGAACGACTTCGTTGATGAAATAAATGATATGCTAATTGCTCAATTTCCAGCTGATGAAAAAGTCTATTTAGCTACCGATGAAACAATTGATCCAAAAGATCAAAGTGAATATGACGACTTTTTGCACGCTTTAAATCCTCCTGGTTTACCTCCTTATAAATTGTGTCTAAAAAAAATTGTCCAATTATATTATTAAGAAATTTGAATCCCTGCGAAGGTTTGTGCAATGGGACACGATTAATATGTAATGACTTCAAATCTCATGTTATTAGTGCTACAATATCCAGTGGTGATTTTAAAAATACACATGTATTCATTCCGCGAATTCCACTATTAACATCAGAAGATGAAAAACTACCCTTTCAATTTAAAAGAACACAATTTCCGATGCGGTTATGTTTCGCCATGACTATAAATAAAGCTCAAGGCCAAACATTAGATTTTGTTGGCATTTATTTGCGAGAACATGTATTTTCTCATGGTCAATTGTACGTTGCTTTATCAAGAGCTAAAGGTTCTAACTGTGTCAAGATATTAATTAGACCGGTTATAGCTGACGATGATGATGATCACTCCACATATAATGTAGTTTATGATGAAATTATTGAAAAAGCTTTTTCCATAACTTAGACCATCATTCCTAATAGTAAGTGTGATGTACAACTTATTTACTTTTTGGATTCTTTGATTTTGTATTATAATCATTCTAACAATCTTACGTTTGCTCATTATTATAATTGTGATGCGTTATGATTGTCGATTATGTCTAGATGGCAGAAAGATTCAACATCAATGCGATTACTCCAGAAACGGAAGAATGGACCTGCAAGATACAAGTAGTTGATAAAGGCAGATCTAGAGATAACAGAGAGAAAACGAAAAAATATCAGCTGATGGTTTTGCAAGATGAAGAGATAATCTTTAAAGGATTCATAAGTTTGCCAATAGTAATTAAGTTAATATTATCCAAATTGTGCCTTATTTTGTTACAGGAAAATCAAGTGGAATGTGTTATATTCAATGCAGAGATAATGCATTTTGCAGATCTGTTTCGCCCTTTCCATACTTACTCGGTGTCAGTTGCACAAGTCAAAGAATCAAACTATATGTACGGAAATCCAATTAACAAATTTACATGGACAATTGATAGTTGTACCATTTTTGAGCCAATAGAAACTGTTAATCCTCCAGAAGAGCCACTACCTCTGCCAACGCGCCTAAATCTTACACCATTTGACAACTTTGAATATCAACCCGAAGGATCTGAATTCGGTAATTGAAGATTTATCTATTTATGTTGTTTGTTTACCTAAAATTCACATTTATTAGTATTGTTATTATTATGATTATTGTCTATATCAATTTTTATTGTCTATTAGCTTATTCATCGTTCTTTTTAAATGCAAGATGTGCTTGCCATCGTGCTCAACGCAAGCCCCTCAACCTATGCTTCAAATGGGCGGAGAATTCAAGATTTTATCATCATGGATGATCAGTAAGTATACATAAACCTGTTTTATTGGATCCAACTAGCAACTGCTGATTCAAGTATGATGTAATGTGTCACTTTTCGTATATTGTCTAACAATAGCCCGCAATAACTGAAACCGAAATTCAAGTTGAGATTGTACCCTTTTAAAGGCTGCTTTTCATGCTTCAATTCAATTTTTGCTTTGCTGCAATTATAATCTTTCAAAGCATACTTAGATCTACTACGCATTCCTGGAATTATTATGGTTTAAGCTTTTTACTACTAATAATATTTGATCATATCTTTAAATATATTCTCAACAATGCAAAGTTCTTATCTTGTTGTTTCTCTTGCTATAAGAATCTAAGTAAAATTAGGATTGATATCATATTGCGCTTTTGATTTTGTAAATTTTAATTTGGCTCAGCTTTTTTGCAAGTAATTTATGCTTTTCCAAAATTAACTTCAAACTTTCAATTTATTTTGATTTATATATCAACAATTGTTGGGATAGCTGCATAGAGTGACGATGTTTGGTGGCTAAAAGTACACACCAATCAAAGAGTCTAAAAACCATATCATTGGCCTTTAACATTTTAAAAATCTTTGTTTGTTCTTCAATAAAATTAGAAGCAATGATCCAAACAAAGAAATTTTAGTAGAAGGAAATCGCTGATCCTATTCATTTTTTTGGGTTTGATATTTTCTTTAGACGATAAGTTTATCCTCTGTTAGCTTTGTTTTGGGCAAGCTTTCCGGTGCCGATTCCGGTTCTCATCCGCGTTCCGCTACCTTTTCGTGTTATCCATCAAACAATCAAATTTCAGATATTTAGAGGTTCCTTTCTCTTTCTCTTGAGCTTCAGATCTTTATTTTTATATATGGATTGTGTTAGATCATGATTGAATTAGAATTAAATGTGGGTTTTGATTATTACATGTGTGGTTGATGATTTTGTTTTCTTGGTGATGATTTTGATTATTATATGTGTGGTTGTTAAGATAATGAGAATGACGAGCAGTGGGGTTGTGGAATCTTTCTTCTTTTTTTATTTAAAAAAAGGGACTTGGATTTCTTAGGATAAATTGACCATGGCAAGTACCGAATATTAATATGATTTGAACTTTGGATAGTTTTGTTGTTATTCCTTTATTTCGCTTTACTTAATTAAATCGATAGTAGCATACTTAGGCCGTTAAATTCATAAACATCATAGCTTGCTTCAAGCGCGTATTTTAATAATATTACCTTCCTAAACTCGGGTGTGCATTTCATGTGACCCAAATCAAATCTTAAAACGTTGAATAAAATATGTTTAGGATTGCGGGTGCATTTCATGTGGCGCGATCCAAAGACGTATTTTGAACGACGTTCAATATTCTTTAAAATTGAATAAAAGCGGTTAAAAGTTAAAATCTGCACATAGGTCCAAAATTGTTTAAAATCAGATAATTAAGTCGAATATAATAGTTGAGCGACCGTGCTAGAACCACGGAACCCGGGAATGCCTAACACCTTCTTCCGGGTTAAAAGAATTCCTTACTCGGATTTCTGGTTCGCGGACTGTAACACAGAGTCAATCTTTCCTCGATTCGGGATTTGAAATCGGTGACTTGGGACACCATAAATCTCACAAGTGGCGACTCTGAACTTAATAAATAAATAATCCCGTTTCGATTGTCACTTTAAGTTGGAAAAAACTCCCTTATATACCCCCTTTTCCGGGGTGTAGGTAAAAAAGGAGGTGTGACAATTATAATTGTGATTACAGAGCAACCATACCGGCTTTGGACACCGAGGGACTCGGAAATTTGTCCTCAAAAGCCGCCTGTAGCCGAATATTTCTAGGAGACCAATTGTATTATTTTCCTCCCACATCGGCACTTCACTTTCAACCATCGCCTCTTGACATCTATAAATACAATATACTCTTTATTCTATTAGCATCATTTTCGGCGTTTGGCAACCATTTTGAGTCTACTTTTGACGACTTGGAAGCACTGACGCGAAGGTAATTTCTTCTTATTTTCTTGCGCTTTTCTTCCTTTATTGGTTTTTTTTGGTAGGTAAAACAAGAAGGATATCTTCTTGCTCAACGAGATTATCCCCGCATGAAGAAGGGTGTTTTAAGGTATGAAGGGATGAGAACTCATCCCTGCCCGAATATCGGAGAGATTACTCTCATGGCCGGACTACCGGAGAGATTACTCTCAATATGGCCCGACTACCAGAGAGATTACTCTCAAAATGACCCGATTATCGGAGAGATTACTCTCAATGTGGCCCGACTACCGGAGAGATTACTCTCAATGTGGCCCGACTACCGGAGAGATTACTCTCAATGTGGCCTGACTACCGGAGAGATTACTCTTAATGTGGCTCGACTATCGGAGAGATTACTCTCAATATGACCCGACTATCGGAGAGATTACTCTCAATGTGACCTGACTACTAGAGAGATTACTTTCAGTGTGGCTCGACTACCAGAGAGATTACTCTCAAAATAACCATTCTCAAGGGAAAACCCACGAAGAAGCCAACTTAGGGTGCAAAGGACTTATATGTCCACCTTAAGATTGGAAAGTTATAAAGCTTCAACTCGAAGACTTCATGGACTTGATGACATCGACTTGAACACTTGGAAAACTTTGAAGATTTGCCGGACTTTGCAAACTTCAACCTGAAGACCGACAAACTTGAAGATTCGGCGGACTTTGACGTTTCAATCTGAAAACTTTGAGGGCTCAAATACTTCCACTTGAAGACCGACGAGTTTGAGGACCTCAACTTGAAGACTTCAACTTGAAGACTTGGAGGTTTAAACATTTCGATTTTAAGACCGACGAATTTGAAGACTGAAACTTGAAGACCGACGGACTTGGAGACTTCGAGGGCTTAAATATTTCATCTTCTCTTTTGCTTTACATTGTTCGACTTTTGTCTTAGTCGCATAATTTTTGGCTTTACGCATTTGTAACAAAAGATTCATATTTTGTCGCGGGAGAGTCCAAATAATAAACCGTTTGATTTCTCAAAAATTAGACTTCAATATCTAACATATATCCAAAATTTAGAATCAAACACCTTCACAATCACCCCAGATAATATTTTGAAACCAACTTTAGATTCCACCACGTTGAAAATTTCAGATTTGCGCAGTCTCACCCAAAAAATCATATCTTGGTGTAGAAATATCGAAATTGCAAACGTTTGATTTTTGAAAACTAGACTTAAAAATCTAGAACATATCCAAAATTCTCAATCAAAAAACTTCATAATCGTCCCATATAATATTTTGAATCAACTTTATATTGTACCACTCTATCAATTCCAGATTTGCGCAGTCTCACCAAACAAATTTATATCTTGGTGTAGAAATATCGAAATTGCGAACCGTTTGATTTTTCGGAAAAACTTCGAAATTTAAATCATATCCTAAATGCAAAATTTAAAACATTAAGGATAGTTTCAGATAATATTTCAAATTCAACATAAAATTCTGACACACTGACGATTTTAGATTTGCGCGACTTCGCCAAAAGTTTTGTATCTTGAAGTAGGGACATCGAAATCACGAACCACTTGAGTTCTTGGAAACTAAACTTCAAAATCTAAAAAATATCCAACATGTAAAATTTAATGCCTTAAGGATAGCTTCAGAAGATAGTTCAAAGTTGACTTCGATTGCTGATATACTGACAGTTCCAAATTAGCGCGACTTCACCAAAAATTCTATATCTTGGTGTGGAAGCCTCGAGATCATAAGACCTTTTTAATTTTTAGAAATTCAAATTCAAGAGCTTCATTCTCTCCAAATATCTTGGGTTCAAGTCTCACTGAATTTGAAACGTCGTGAAGGTACACCAAAAACTTGAAGGTTTAACGAACATGAAGGCACAGCGAATCCCCGGACTTCAATGCAAATGTTTGGCAGCCTCCTAAAATATATTAATCATTTTATTTAAGACTCCAATTTACTATAGTGGCTGCCCCCTTTAAATCAAATGGGATCCAAAGTTTAACAGAAAAATGGTATCTCAACTCGATTTTCAAGTGCTGATTGAATGAATTACACTTCATCGTACTTCATTCGGACAATGATTAGGGGATTATGTATCTTTTGAACTTATGCGACTGAACTTAGAATGAAACTCTAAGCTGCCTACGTACCTCGTGAAGAGGATCAAGTCATACCGTAGTTCAGAATGGGTAGATTTTTTTTATGTCTTAACTTTTGCCTAGGCCGCCTCTTTCGAGATTTTCAAACTAGTGGACTCTTTTTTTGGGCCGTACACAGTTTATACTCTTGCGGGCCAGGAGTATAGGAACATGCAGTTTATGCTCGTGCAACGAGGAGCGTCATGATGTAATGACGCGGCCGGTCGTTTCAAGAGTTACCGCTCTGTTTCCCCTATTTTTACTTCTTATTGTCTTGTTCAGCTATGTTATATGATATCGGGTTGGTTGGTTCGGGTTCGAAGAGGTTTTGGAAAGGAATGAGACAGTTAGTCTCTTTTGAGTAAGCTTAAGTTGGAAAAGTCAACCAGATGTTGACTTATGTGAAAAAGGGCTTGAATGTGAATCCCAATGGTTATGATAGCTTTGGGAGGTGATTTGAGACATAGGAGCATGATCAGAATGGGTTTTGGAGGCCCGGAGTAGATTTAGGCTTGAATTGGCGAAATTGAAATTTTGGCGTTTTCCGGTTGATAGGGGAGATTTTGATATAGGGGTCGGAATGGAATAAAGAAAGTTGCAGTAGGTCTGTTATGTCATATGTGATGTGTGTGCAAAATTTCAGGTCATTCGGACGAGGTTTGATAGACTTTTTGATCAAAAGCAGAATTTGGAAGTTTTTTGANTCATTTAGGATGTGTGTGCAAAATTTCAGGTCATTCGGACGAGGTTTGATAGACTTTTTGATCAAAAGCAGAATTTGGAAGTTTTTTGAAACTTTAAGCTTAAATTTGATGTTATTTTATTGATTTGATGTTGTTTTTAGATGTTTCGAAGGTTGGTATAAGTTTGGATAGTGGTATATTCGTACTTTTGGTTGAGGTCCCGGGGTCCTCGGGGTAATTTCGGATGGTTGACGGGAAGTTGGGAGTTGGAAATTTGCAGCTGAAGCTACTGAATTACTGTCATAATTGCACCTGCAGATTGGGGGTCGCAGGTGCGGGCCCGCAGAAGCGGAACAGTGGACGCAGATGTAGAATTGGGCGAGATGGTCTGAAGGCGTATGTGCAGAAGTTTCAGCGCACCTACGAGACCGCAGGTGCGGAAGGATATGTCCAGGTGCGGTTCCAGGGGGTTTAAGTGAAAACCGTAGGAGCGGTTTGGTTGAATGCAGAAGTGGCTCTGCAGGTGTGGAAAATGGACCGCAGGTGTGAAAACCCTAGGCCAAAATGTATATAAACCCTCATTCGCGATTTTTGAGTTGTTCTCCACCATTTTCATTCGGGTTTGAGCTTGAGGGAGCTATTTGAAGAGGGATTTCAAGGGAATTTCGTGGAGGTAAGGTTTTTGGACCCTAAAATTGTTTCTATGATGGTTTTTGACTTATTAAGCTTGAAATCTATGGAAATTAGTAGCAAAAATTGGGGGTTTAGGGCTTGAAAATTGGAGACCTTTATCTAGGGATTTGAGGGGTCATTTGTGATCGAATTTTGGTATTCTTGATATTTATGAACTCGTGAGATTGTAAGAATTCTAGTTTTGTGAATTTTATCGGAATCCGAGATGTGGGCCCGAGGTTCGGGTTTGATGAATTTCGTTTTTTATATAAATTGGTTATTTTCGAGTGAGTTTCGTTCCCTTAGTATATTTTGATGGTATAAATCTGTTTTTGGTTAGATTTGGAGCATCCGGAGGCCGAGTCGAGAGGCAAAGGCATTGAGGGCTAGAATTTGGACCAGATTAAGTTAAGTAATGATTATAAATGTTGCCATGAGTGTATGAAACCCCGAATTTTACATCGTTTCACTACTTTGAGGTGACGCACACGCTAGATGACGAGCGTGGGGTCGTGCACCATTGAGGATTGTGACTTGGTTCGTTCCGTACGACTATTAAGTCGCGTATTTGATTGAAAATTGTTTGATATCATTGTGTTTTGGAAAGTATTATCATGTCTTGGGTTGAATGCCATATTTGGGCCTCGTGCCAACTGTTTTGGACCCTTAGGGTTTTTTTACTGTTATTCCTTACTGTTTTACTTCATAATTGTACTCAATCATACTGTATTCTACTGTTTTCATAACTCAGTCATATTTACTCCATTCTGATATTTCTAAATGATATTTTGGGTTGAGCATCATGTTTTACTGTTGCCCAAGGGGCTTGAGAGATTCTGACTGAGTGAGGCCGAGGGCTTGTGTTGTGAGGATTATTATGGGCTCGAGTTGCGCACCGCAGCATGTGTGCTGATCGTGATATATGAGAGGTCAGGGGCCTGATTTTTTTATGCCACGAGGTGGCTTGTGATAGCGTTTGGGTTGTAGGAGCCCCTCCAGAGTCTGAACACCTCTAGTGAGCACGGATACCCAGTGTGAGATGTGATATTATCCCGAGGGGCTGTTGTTGTTTCATGATATTGCCCGAGGGGCTGATTACGAGTGATTGTGAGGATAGCTCGAGGGGCTGGATCTGTTGATATTTTGCCCGAGGGGCGGTTGTGGTACTTGTTTTGCCCGAGGAGATGTTTTACGTTTCTATCATATTACTCACAGTTTTCATCACTCGTTTGAAACTATTAAAAATGTTTTAAAAGGTTTTACTGAACTGAGATGTTTTTACGAGTTTTACTATTTTACTACATTGTTATGGACTTATACTGTTTTGTTGTAGCATTATGTTGTGGTTTACGTGTTTTCTTACTGCTCAGTGGCATTTACTTTTATTATTTACTAAGTTGGCGTACTCACATTACTCCTTGCACCCTGTGTGCAGATCCAGGAGTCTCGGGTCACGCTAGCGAGTGCTGATTTGTCTTCTAGCAGGCTTTCGGAGTTGACTACGTAGCTGCTTGGCGTTTGCAGCCCAGTGCTTCTCCTTCCTATCTTTATTCCACTTTGTATTAGCTTTGTTTCAGACTTTGTTGTTTTTTCATATTTATAGACGAGTTTTAGTTGCTCATGATTGGTGACACCCTGATGCCGGGCCGTGTTTTGTTTTCGCACTGTTCTATTCTACCTTACATTTTGGGATTTTAGCTTATTAATGACTTTTAAATGACTTATTATAATTGTTTGGTTGGTTTTGGGGGTTTGTGTCGGCTGACCTAGTTTTACGATAAGTGTCATCACGATCGAGTCTGTTTTAGGGTCGTGACACATGACTTGCAGTTTAGGCTCGTACGTCGAGGAGCATAATGACTTCAAGGATAATACTTCTTCATAAACTTGCCATTGATAGGGACGATTCTCATGCCATCTGCACCAACCAACTTGTAAGCCCCACTTGAGTAAGCTTCTTGTATGACATATGGCCCATCCCATTTTGAAGTGAATTTCCCTACAAGTTTATGGGAAGTAATTATGGGTCTTTCGTACGACAAGGACTTGATCTCCTACTTGAAAGGATCTCGGACGAACTCTTTTATTGAAAGTGCGAGACAATCGAGCTTGATAACATTCAAGACTCTGTTGAGCTTCCAACCTCTTCTCATCGAGAGCCTCCAACTCTACTAACCAAAGTCGAGCATTTTCTTCATTAGTGATCCCTTCTTGAATAGCTAATCGTAATGAAGGTATTTGACGCTCGAGCGGCAAGGCATCTTCGACTCCATAAATGAGTGCATAAGGGGTCACTTGTGTTGGCGTGCGGTGAGTTGTCCTATATTTCCACAGAGCTTCCTCCATACGATCATGCCAATCTCGTTTGGATTTGGAGACGACTTTCTTTAACAAGTTGCATAGAGTCTTATTGAATGCTCGGCTAGACCATTGGTGACAGTATTGTACATAGAAGAGTTACGTTTCTTGAAGCCAAAGAGTTCGCAAATCTTGTTCATCAACCTATTGTCGAACGACTTGCCATTATCCGTTATTATGTAACGAGGAATGCCAAAGCAATAAATAATGTTACTCGGATGAAACTTGCAACATTTTTCTTCTTTACTTCCTTAAGAACAACAACTTCAGCCCATTTTAAGAAGTAGTCAGTTGCAGCTAAGATGTATAGGTGCCCACCAGAGGACTTTGGCAGTGGTCCAACAACATCCAATCCCCAAGCGTCAAATGGCCAGGATGCAACAGTCGGGTGTAACACTTCAGGAGGTTGATGAATAAAATTCGCATGGAATTGACAAGCCTTGCATCTTCGAGCGTAGTCCAAGCAATCTTTTACCATCGTTGGCCAATAATATCCCATCCTTTTTATATGGAAGTGGAGCTTTGGTCCAGACTGGTGTGACCCACATACCCCAGAATGCGCTTCTTGCAAAGCTTGGAGTGTTTCATCTTCCCCTAAGCATTACAAGAGTACTCCCCCGAATGATCTTCTGTATAAGGTATCTTTGTAGTAAAGGAAGCGAGGTGCGCGACGATGGATTTCAGTCCTTCTCTGCGGATTTTCTAGAAGTATCCCTTAGCATAAGTAGTCGATAATGGGTTGTTGCCATTCATTTTTCTCAACTTCAGAAATAGCGACAAGATGCTTGAGTTCATTTTCTTCACCTTCAGCCTCATTTGGCGGCGGTACTACCCATTTTTGGCAAATAGTAACTTGTGCTTGATCAGGAAGGTTTAATGATGAAGCTAGGGAAACTAAAGCATCATCCTTCTTATTTTCTTTCCTTCGCACATGCCACCCTGTTAACTTTTTAGCGTATTATGATATGGGCATAGTTCAGGCGTCTTACCCTCGTAACTACCTAGAAGTTGATTGACCACTAACTGAGAGTCACTAAAGACTTACAACTGCAATTGCTTCATATCAACGGCCCTTTCAAGCCCAAGTATTAATTCTTGAAACTCAGCAATATTGTTGGAACAGAGTTGTGTCAAGGTGAAGGAGTAGGGCAGGACTTCACCTTGGGAAGTCACAAATACTACGACAGTACCAGCTCCTCCACGATGTGCAACACCATCAAAGTACATCTTACATGGAGGTTGAACTTCAACGATCATTGCGTCCTTATCAGGTAGCTCATCAGTCAGCTCCCAATTATCAGGTATCGTATGATCTGCCGAGAAGTTTGTCAATGCTTGTCCTTTTACAGCCTTTTTAGGGATGTACAAAATCGTAAATTGTTGAAATTGGAGGTACCATATCGCTAGTCAATCACTAAGGACGAGTTTTGATATCACAAACTTGATGGAATTTTCTTTAGAAACAAGACGGACAACATGAGCTGGAAAGTAGTGCTTCAAATTTTGAATTGAGAAGACTAGCGCCAAACACAACTTTTCAATTGGCGAATAATTCAGCTTGTTTGGTGTCATCATCCTGCTCAAGTAGTAAAGAGAGTTTTCTTTCCCCTCACTATTTTCTTGGGCCAACAGTGCTCCAACAGACCTTTCTTGTGCCGCAATGTATAGCATCAATGGCTTTCCAGGTATAGGAGCTGCTAAAACCGGAGGTTTCATCAAGTAGTTTTTGATAATTTCAAAGGCATTGCTGCAAACTTGGTCCCACTTGAAAGGAACGCCTTTCTTCATAAGACGACTAAATGGTCGGCACCTCCCAGCTGGGTTTGAGATGAATCTTTTAAGGTACGCTAACTTTCCTTGCAGACTTTTCAATTCGTGAATATCCCGAGGCTCAGGCATTTTCAAAATGGCATTCACTTTGGCTTGATCAATTTCAATCCCTCAATATCGGACAATAAAACCAAGGAACTTTCCAGAAGCAACTCCAAAGACACATTTCAATGGATTCATCCTAAGTTGGTACCTCCAGAGCAATTTAAATACCATTCTCAAGTCTCTCAAGTGGTCTCTCTTCTTTCTTGATTTTACTACCAAGTCGTCAACATAGCATTCGACATTCTTGTGGAGAAGGTCATTAAGATATTCAACATAGCTCTTTGGTAAGTAGCACCAGCGTTCTTCAAGCCAAAAGGCATTACCTTGTAGCAATAAATATCTTTGGGGGTATGAAATGCAGTAAGCTCTTCATCTTTTAGCGCCATGCGAATTTGGTGATAGCCTGATGAACCATCCATGAATGATATTGCCTCGTACCCAGTAGTAGCATCAATCATTAGTTCTAGAATAGGAAGCGTAAATTCATCTTTCGGACATGCATTGTTGAGATCGCTAAAGTCAACGCACACTCGAATCTGGCCATTTTTCTTCCTTATAGGGACAATACTTGAAACCTATGGCTTGTATTTGACTTCACAAATAAAGCCATCTTTGATGAGTTTGTTAATTTCGGTTTCAATCAAAGGAACCAAGTCTGGCCTAAAGCACTTTTGGTCTTGTTTAACAGGGAGAGCACCATTCTTGACGGCAAGGTGATGGACTGCTACTTTCGGGTCCAAGCCAGGCATCTCTCTGTAGCTCCAAGCAAAGACATCCCTAAACTCCTTGAGTAACTCAATATAAGTGCTTGCTTCATCAACTTCTAGTAAAGCACTTAGGTAGGTGGGTCTTGATTCTTCATCAGCTCCAAGGTTAACTTCTTTTAAGGCATCAACTGTTGCCTTCACCCCTTCTTCAAGTTCCAGGGGAGCATCTTTCGCATCTTAATCTTCCTAAGGTTCCCCATTATTGAAGGATATCTGATAACATGGTGAGACATCCTCCAATTCTGCATTATCCTCCATTGAATATGGAACACCATTCTCGCCTTGTACAGTAACATGATACAAAGAACCCACACTTTCTTCGTCTTCATCACGTTCTTTAGTGTAGACCACAGTGTATGGCTTCACCCTCAGTACTTCATTACACGAAACCATGACTTTTATTTGTCGCTTCATTCTAGAAGGAACCAAACTTTGGAAATCTTTAGAGATCTTCTGAATTTTAGGCGAAGCGAGTGTTCTTGTATTTCGATAATTTCTCTAGAACTTATTCCCATTCTTTAATGAACCCAATCTCTCTAATACGAAAGTTCTCACAGTTGATTTTCCAAGTCGGTCAAAGACAGAAGGCCTGTTAGAAGCGGCAAATTTGTCTTCTACAGTGATGTAATTGCTACTCACCCTTCAATATTATGATGTGCACTGGTGATGGTTGCTTGTATCCCAAACGTTCACGTGGTTGTCTCGTTGTAGCTTCTGATGATAGCTTCCTTAACTTTGACGGCTCATTAGGATTGTATCCAGCTTTTGCAAATAGCCTGTAAGTGTTAGGATCAAAACCTTCATTTGTTCGCTTTGTAGGGAGTGCCACATTCTGCAAACGTTTTTGGGCTACAAACCCTGTAAGCGGCATTGAGGACGACTTTACTTCCTCAATTTGTTTGACCGAAAGAGTTAATTCCTTTAGCGTGTTAGCTTGGAGATTAGATGATTCACCTTCATATTTCTTCCTTTTAGGGACATATTGGAGTGCAGGACTTACTTTCTTGCCATAAGACGCAATATTCCCTCTATAAGATTTATTCGCGTTGGGTTGTACCTCCTCAGTAACAGCTTAGGCTTCACCAGTAGTCACCTCTTCTCTTTTAGTTGTGGGCTCGTTATTCTTGTTTTTCATGCCATCATCGGCTTTTAGCTCCTTCACAATACGGTTCTTCAAGTAGAACTTTGCATCGGCGAAGTGTGACTCAGCCTCGGTGAATGGCTCATCATTATCAACTATCTTCTTCTTGACTTCACCCTCGTAGTATTTTAAACATTGATGATAGGTAGATGGAACTACTTTATTCTCATGTATCCAAGGCCTTCCAAGAAAGACATTGTATGAAGTCTTTGCATCGATCACATGTAGCCATGCACTTGATTGCATATCTTCAATGGTGACTTCCAGTCTGATCGTGCCTATGGCTTGTTGCCCCCCTTGGTTGAATCATTGGATCATCGCATGACTTTTTGAGAGTTCGTTCATAGGAATACCAAGTTCTTTCACAGTGCGAATTGGCAAAATGTTCACTGAGGATCCTCTATCAACCAAAATTTGATTTACCCTTTCATCATGCATATAGCCAACCAGGTATAATGGGTGGTTGTGAACGTGACTTTT